CTATATTTTTTGTATTTAAGGTGGAGGGTTGAATTAATAATATGCCTCAACTCATGGAGCATTACAAACTTTGAATCATGCAAGGCACCCATCTGATTTATATATTTTCTTACATACCACTTTTATCCCAAATCCATTTACCATTTCCCTACACTAAAGAGCAACCATTTTATATGTTAATTGTTTTTTATTCATAAAATGTTTAATATTCCATGCATACACTTTTAAATTGATTTAGTGTTTACATTAAATATCTTCTGTCTACTAATTTTTTCACTATAATCAAACTGTTTTATAGATCTACCCATGTTGCTTTTGGCCATCTAATGTGCTTATAACTATCATATATCCACTATACTTTACATATCAACTCAACCAAGTAACAGAGATCCAGATTAGTGTTAATATATTGGTTAATATATTGTGGAGCCAGACTTTCTGGTTTCCACACTGTCTCTGTCACTTACTAGCTGTGTGACCTGGGTAAGTTACTTAAATCCCCCAGAACTTCAGTTTTTGCATGTGTAAAATAGAAAAAAAAATAGTATCTATGACATTTATGGTTATAAGGATTAAATGAGTTAATGCTGACAAAATAATTAGTGTAATGACTAACATTTAATAAGGTGTTAAATGTTACTATAGTAATATTTAAGAAACTTTTCAATATTCCAAATATTGTGAATCCATGGGAGAAACTGGGATAAATAGGTTTTAGACTTTATGAGTATTATATAAGCAGACTCATTGGTGAAGTAAATTGGAAAGAGGAAAAACATTCAAATGCAAAACATAATGTATAGAACCATCAATTCTACAGGTAACAAAAGCAATTGCTTCAAACTTGAAATAAACCAAGAAATTTTGTTTTCTAATAGTGACTCTTATCTTTAATGATTTCCTAAAACACTGAGTTGTATAACGTTGGAGTTCTTCTAATTTTGATAGAAGATCCAGAGCAATAACATAAACAACAAGAGAATTACAGCATCCAAGTAAGAGCAGAAAGTGGGGAAATATGTTGCATATAGAAAATAGATAATTTTCATTTTTATCAAAATATATGTGGAAAAATATGCATTTTTCTAACTGCATCATTGTCATGTGTGCATAGATATTTGGTCAATTATTGAAGTTTCTAAGGAAAACATCTGAAGACAAATGTTTTATTTAGCTACATATCACGGGTATCTCTCCATTGGCCTGACACTAATGCTTCTGTCACCAGATTAGTATTCTCTTTTTTTAGTGCTCTTTGTTACTGCTCTTTTTTCTAATTATGAAGCTTTTAATACTGCCAACTGATGCCGCCTGTCTACGCTGAAACTGGGCGTAGGTGAGGCGCAAGCTCTGTGCTTGTTCCCATGCCTATTTGCTGTTTTGAAAACATAGTTCAAAGATGAGACTCTAATCTGATCGGTTTGTCCATGATTCATGACTGGTTTATTTAACAATGATTAGCAAATGGGATGGAATATTTTTAGAAGCCATCATTATTCATGTTTGGTTGCTGACTTTGGAATCTTGCTAGAGACTTACTGGTTTCTCAAAAGGCACTTCAGGATCTTCTTTCTCTTTTCTACCTGTTGTAACAATGACAGGCACAAAGGCAGCCGGCGTGTTTCAGCACTTATTGTGTGCATATTGCTATGCGAAGAACTTTATTTACATTTTCTTATTTGATCCTAGCAATATCCTCATGACAATATTATTATTATTCCCATTTTTAGGATGAAGAAACTGAAGTTTAAAGATGTGACGTGATTTGCCCAAGGTCACAAACCTAGTAAGTGAGGGAATAGGAATCTAAACCAGGGAATTCTTACCTTGGAGCCATTATGCTCTGAATCACTAGCAAATATTGTACACTCTGTTTCGTCTATCTGAAGCCTATTTCTTGTATCATTGTTCTAGATAGCTCAATCTTCAGATCCTCTTAAATTGCTGCTACCTTGAGAAAGCTCTTTCTGCTCTCTAATTTGGGCATGCGTCTCTAACATAACCTAGAGCACAAGGCACTAGAAAGAACTCTTTGCTCTCTTTTCTGTTTTTCTGGAATCTTTCCCTGAGGGTCATAACAGTGCCTAGCACCTGTGTTTATTAAAATAATTCATAAACAAATGAGTTTGATGGTTTTCTGTTATTCAAATCAGTGTTACAATTCCATTTACTGCTAGTGATGTTGATGTGTAATGTGTTATAAAGATTTTTTTGGAATTCTTTAGATAATTCTCTGACAATTTTTGTGTATGTTGAGTCTTTCTTTCATTTCTTTCTTTTTTTTAAATTAAGGACCAAGACACAGAGCCATAATTATACTTTATAGGTTTTTCAAAACTCTGAAATATGACATTAATATTTAAGGTCTGCTTACTTTCTTAATCTCTCTTTTATTGGACATTCTAATCTTGACCAAAGGATTCACTGAGAATGACTGAGCCCATCCTAGAGGAATTTTGTATAATGATCACTGTGATATTTAAGGGCAATTCATGGTATTTTCTATCTTTAGTGTGATTAATAATTACCTTCTCATGGACATCACACACTGAATTTATGATTCAGTATATACAAGGGAGGGCCCAAGAATTTGCATATTTTGACATTCACATGCACAAACATACATATACCCACACACAGTGTGATTCTGATGCAGGGTGTGTTCAGCCCACATTCTGAGAAAAATTATACTTGTGGGAGCTTCTAATATTTGTTTCCTGTCCACCCTCACTAAAGAAACAGTGACAACCCTTAACCAGGTTCTCCCGATACTCCTTTTCCATAGCGTGCTCTATAGCATACCTGCTGACAATCTGTTTTTACATCGGTGATGACTTTGTGAACACTTTCCTCTTTCTAATCTGAGGGCTGTGTTCTTCCCACTGCTCCTCTGGAAGCTAATTTTAAATGTTGCTCTTTTTTTGTGTCTATTCTGATTGAAAACTGATCCCCTGTTCAACAGAAACATGGTCAATGATCCATTTTTTAAGGTGTGAACCATCGAACATTCTTGTGACTCAGTTCAGAATCAGAGCAGCTCAGTATCAGAACTATTCAATCATTCATCTCATTGGCATGTATGCTGTGAATTTATTTGTGTAAAAGATGCATATTATAAATTGATATGCATAGAATATCAATTTGTTTAAAACCTAACTCTTAAGTGTTGTTGCCCTTTATTACTAGTCCTTGAAAACAAAGTTCTGAAAGTATTCCAAGTGGCCTGGCATCATGTAAATCATCAAAGCATAATGCAAAATCGTATTTAAACCAAATACATGCATGAGGCCTCTTTTATGTTCTGCAGGAAGCTTACTTAGAATACTGAAACTATTTTTTTAACAGTATATTGAAATGACTTGTTCTTGTGATTTTCCTTAAATTGATTGCCATGTATTCAAACACCAAGCATTTATCCAGTACCTCCTGCATTCATTATACTCTACTGAGCATTCTGAAAGATACAAAATAATTGAACTCATGTTCTGTCATTAGAGGATTTAATTTTCCCCCTGAAGAATCGAAAGAATTGAAGATTATGTCTAATAAAGTAAAACAATTAGAAAGATATTAATGACAATTTGGGTATTAAGCTCATCAACAAAAGCATCAAATTCATTATTTTTGAATGATACAGATTGACTTGTTGACTTTGCATTACCTTTTTTTTTTAATCTCTATTTTGCCTCCTTTATCACACGTACATGTCTGAAGAGGCATTTGTTCAAGTTCACTTAGTTATGATATACAGTTGCATTGATTAGGAATAGATGATAAATCATTTTGTAACTGCCCCTATGTCTGTTTAAATAATTATGCCTTGTTAGGTGAACATCATTGATAGCATAATCAGTCTTGACTGATAATGACTGATAATGTTGTTGAATGATATATTAACACAAACTCAAAAAAAAAATCTTGAGGTTGACTATTGGGAACATTTCCCTTACTCTGTTATATCTAATTTATTAATAGTTAACAGTCCACTTACTACATTACTGGAATGCAGTCAGAGCAAATTACCTATTTTGTAGCTTGCCACAGACGCCAATATCTTCTTTATCAAAACAAGCACCTAGCTTGACGAATTTTTTTGAAGACATTAAATGTTTTCTGTTAAACAAACTATACTTTGAGTGATAACTTTTTGATCTTACTTTTTTGCAAGTTTTCCTCCATTAATAAGAAGAGAGAGGCTGTTGATTGAATCTTCAAGCCTAGAAGGCCTGAGATTGTGACCTGTATTGCAAACTGATGCTTAAATTATGACTCAAGCAATGATTTCTGTTAGACTTGTGGTATGAACCAAATATACATACAATATTATTCCTATAGTACAGGTTTTTGCTCTAGTTATGTCTATCTATTTAAAGTATATGAAATTCGAAGGTCTCTATTTTTTAAATCTTTAATTTCCCCTAATAAACCAGTAAATGACACTTGAAGATAACTCTCATCCTATAAATTATTAATCTTTCAGGTTATAATTTCTGCCATCAAGAGTGTACTCAGATTATTAAGGCTTTGCTTTTTATTACTTAATACTTAGCCCTTGGTATAAAAGGAAATACTTCTATTTTAGAAAAAAAACCTTTATTTCTAAAGAGTAAATTAGTTATGTTTTTAAGTTATTATTGGTATTGATGTGGTGGCGCTGGAGTGATGGTAGTAGTTTAGTGGTTTATTTTTGTTTTGGTCCATTTTACACAATTAAAATTCATATATGAAAATAAAAGGATTCAAAACTTGAGTGAATAATTTCTAAAGTTTCCCAATGTGATGCTGATATTGTCATTCTCAAATGGGAGATAGTCATTCAATTCTGGGATTTATGTCCGTATGAGTATTTCTTGGGATTAGGATTGGAAACATTAGTAGCATGCCCTTAAAACTGTGAACTCACACCCTTACGTAATTGGTAGGGGATCTTAATGTTACATAGTCTGACTTTTTTCTCTTCTTGTTAAAGCACTCTTACTATACTTACCCCTATTATTACTTTATCTCTTTTAGAGGAAAATATCTGACACTATATGTTACTATGCTGACGTTAATAGAGAGACATCGTATTCATGAATTTTATTATTATAAGACAACAGAGAAAATCTCCTACTTGTATGTGTTTAGAAAAACCCTAAAAGCCTTCTTAAGTTACTTCCATATGAGTTGAGGCACATGGGATCAAAACCATATAAACTTTTTTAAGTACTAACCGTGACTGTCTTCAAATACAACTGTTGTTTATTTTGTTAGAAAATCATATCAGTGGTGCAACTAAACTAGTTTAACAACAGTCTAGTCTCCTTTGATTTCTTACCTTGTTTTTGTCTTAGTAATGTGAATTATTTTTTCATATTTAATCAGAATTCACCTTAAAATTTTCCATTATGTATTCTTTAAATATCTTTTAAAGATACTGACAATAAATTATAATGATGATGATAGCAAAAACATGTATCGCTATGTGCCAAGTTGTTCTAATTTTATAGACATATTAAAATTTTTAATAAGGTAGGTAAAATATTTGGTGTGAAATTAGAAATAGAGACAGAATTTTCCTTTTATCCATTATCTTATTTACTTCTCATGCCAATTTATTGAGGTATGTAAATTGTATCACTATTTTACACATATTGAATACATTAAACATTTAAATTCAGAGCTGCCTGACTCTACGGCAGCCAAGAAGCTGCAAGTAACATAAATTCAAATAGAATGTACTTAACACAACGCAGGGAATGCATTTTATCACTGAAAGGCACCAGTTTCAGGAACAGTTTGAACATGGATCTGGCTCCATTTCTCAGAGATTTCTACAGCTTGATCCTCTTCTGAGTCTGCTTTGACTCAAGGTGGACTGCTCCCATGGTAGCAAAATAGCTATAGCAATTCCAGGCCTCATAGACACATACCGCATCGCCAAAATGAAAGGAAACTTCTCTTCCTGCTCATTTAGTTTATGAAGTCCTCGACTTTCTAGAGCAGCGGTTCTCAACCTGTGGGTCGTGACCCCTTTGGGGGTCGAACGACCCTTTCACAGGGGTCGCCTAAGACCATCGGAAAACAAAAATATATTTACATTACGATTCATAACAGTAGCAAAATTACAGTTATAGAGTAGCAACGAAAATAATTTTATGGTTGNATATTGTAAGTTATATGAAAATCCCCATGGAGCAATGATTTGTGCATTATATATCACAATTGAGGAAAATTTGGAAAAGTAGTTTTCCCTAAATCTGGCTTAATTTTTTTTAATTGCTATTTTGCTTTTCCTTTAGTTTTCATTGTAGTGATGGGATATGAAAATTTGTGAGTGTTAGACCATAAAATTTTAATGGAATTCCATTAGTTAGATGTATTATTTCTCTTATTTTGTTTCTAGACACAATTTGAATTAGCAACTAAACTAAGTATTGAGCATTATTATATTCCTTGGATATGTGTCATACATTATTGGCTTCTATTTAATCTCCATAGGGAAGAACTATACTAATTCAGATTTCTGATTATACTTTTCCTATTTACCTTGTTTACAGATATTAGAATGTGAAAATGTGACTTATTCCTAATTTCTTAAAAAACCGGGTGTGAAAGTTCACATGCATTTTCATCATATGGCATAAACACAATTAATGAAAGAGACTTTTTGGATGTATGGGAGGATAAATTTATATTCAAAGTTATATTAATGAATATGTTAATTCACTTGATGAGATTCACTTAATCTCATATCCCAAATGGAATAAAATGGGCATAAATAGATCTTGTCAATCAATGGATAATTAAATAAATGATTGAACAAATTCATGT